ACTCTTTCATAATTAACTTTGTGACTTTAAAATTAGGCAAAGAGCCAGAAAAACAATTTTTAATCCAGGAACTACAAATATGTGAGAAATAAACCTGTGCTATGAAAAGAAGTGGACGTAAAAGAGTTATTAAAACAAAATTAAAATTAAAAGAAAACTATGTTATCCAAAAGTTGAGTCAAAAGAAAACATGACAGGCAGGTTTTTCAAAGTGTCTATCGGGTCTGACTTTTAAGCCTAATCCGAAGAGGCCAATAACAATCATACACATTCAACAATTTATACAATATTATATTTTGTGTTTATCTAATATCTATTTAAGTGATTAACTTTTGCGATAAAATAATATTTGATAAATAGAAATCATATAATCTTTAATCGTTAATTATATTTTTAGATACTTCATTGATCATATTTATAAATAAAAAATTAAAAATTAAAAAAGGAAAATAGTTAAACTCTTTCGACAAATATTTTTTCATGCACAAACCAGAATCAAAGTTTAGGATTAAGATTATCTGTCTTGACTTCTGATTCACTATTTGTTGTACAAGTATCATTTGTGTAACACTTTTGAAGGAAAGAAAATGAGTTGGGGTGATGGTGAATACGAAGGTTGAAAGCAGACAGATAGGTAGGGGGAGAATTGAAGGTGTACTAGAGTGAAAGTGGGACCATGTTGCCATGAGGAGGACCAACATAGAACAGTATAGCCAATGGGTTTGGCTCCCACCATGTCCTTGCACAAATACACAAACCCCAAAACACCCGTGGTCTGTCCTTTAATTTGCCCTGTGCCCCACACTCTCCATAAATACCCCCTCACCACCCTTCTCTTCACCACTACCTCTACAAAATCATCTCTCAACTCAACCACTCAACACACCACAAAAATGGCCATCAGAAAATCAAACAAGCTTCCCCAACATGCAGTCTTGAAGCAAATCCTCAAGAGGTGTTCCAGCATGGGAAGGAAACACGGGTACGATGATGATGGTCTTCCCGTGGATGTCCCAAAAGGACACTTCGCTGTTTACGTGGGAGAAAACAGAACTAGGTACATTGTGCCAATCTCATTCTTGGCTCACCCCGAGTTCCAATCTCTCCTAAGACAAGCTGAAGAAGAATTTGGCTTCGATCACGAGATGGGTCTCACTATTCCTTGTGAAGAAGTTGTCTTCAGGTCTCTAACATCCACGTTGAGATGAAACAACGACAACAACAACAACTACTACTTCGTACGTACGAGGTTTACCATGATGATATGATGGTTCTGACTGAAGAGGATGGCCAAGAAGCACCACCACCACCCTTTTGCTTCTTTTTTCTCCCTTCGTCATTGCCACTTTCATTCGCCTCGTTCACATTCTTCATCTGCTATTCTTAATTTTCCATCTCATTCTTTTCTTTTTCCTTTTTTTTTTTTGTGGGTTTGTCGCAACAACCTGTTATGATGTCAATTATGTGACTCTAACTTTGTTTCCATGAAGATTTCATGGGTAGCAAATGTACAAAGGTTTGAAGTTTTCCTCGCAGAGGTTTCTAAATAATTATACCCTGTGAGAGAAGTTTTATGTCAATGAATGAATGCTACTTCATTTATGTCTACACTCTATGTCACTCTGCCTCGTATCCCCCGGTTGAAAAATTATATGCATGGATTTAACTTTAAAAGAATATTTTAACATATAAATAAAAGTAATTCTTCTAAATTTAGTTTGGAATATTAATTTTAAATACGGATTAGATCCAATATTAAATTATGTTTCTTTGTCAAAAAAAATATATATAAGAATTCTTTTGTTAGAAGTAAGTGTATTATTATTCATGAAAGTAAATAAAGATAACGGACCAGGCCAGTACCTTATTGTACGGATTATCTTGGTACAGTGGGGCTTAACTTTTCAATTATTCCCAACTAGAAAATGAAAGAATGCCCTCACATTGAAAGTTTTTTTTTTTAAGCCCCTTACGTTGTAAGTTTTACAAATGTATTATGTCAAATTAATTGAGACTCTTCCATTATAGATATCTCATAATATTAGGTGTTTGCCCATCATTTTTTTATATAAAAAGATACTTGTATGATAAATTATAAAAAAAAATTTATAAATTTTTTTTTCTTATTTCTCTCGATTGCATCCTTTATTACATTTAAAGTTAGTAAGGATATGTGTACACTAATTTATATAATAATTTTACAACATCTTTTTTTTCATCTTACTTTAACATTAATAAATATAAAAATGATGTGATTGAAAAATATAAACCAAAAAATAATATACAAAAAAATTATATTATTTTTATATAAATATCATTTCACATGCATTTTATTAATAATGGAGAGAGATAAATAAGATGCAAAAAAAACTATTATATAAATGATTAAGAAGTAAAATCATATCATATTCGTTGGTCCAACTAATAGTGAAATTAGTCCTCAAGATCTCAAATTTGAGTTAAAGATTTGATAAAATAAAAATTTTAAAAAAAAGAAAGAAAAAAAAAAAGACTCAACTCTAACAAAACAAGTTCTATTCACTTCTCAATAGAACGTTCAAATATAATTCCTATATAAAAAATAAAAATAAGCCCCTTATAACGAATTCATTCCAAATAACTTATTCATATAAGTTAAATTTTTGCTTAAGCTTCTAAGAATAATTATTTATAGCTCGTCACTTTTTTTGTTTTTTGCGTATATCTTTTTCGAAGACAATTCTTGTTCAAGACAAATTAGACACGAAATGTGGGTATTTTTTTCTGGCAAGGATTTGAACTTTGATTAGCCATGTTGTGAAGACTAATACCTCCCACTAATCTTGTTAGTTAAAGCTTGTTTTCAATGATCAATCCTACAAATGATTCCTCATATTTTGGTTGAAATTCAAAAAAGTTTACTATTAAAGTAATTGTCTTACTATTAATATTATAAGAAAAAGTAAACCAGAAAAACCGTTGGGTTGGGTGGACAATGGTTTTAAGGCAATATGTGCAAAGTGGTTGTTAATGATGAAGACAGGGCATAATTGATGTTTGTGGCCTTGGGCAGGCCTCAAATGAAGTACTAGCCTTACAAATCCTTTTTCATAGCTAAGAGAAAAAGCCAAAAGTTGATATATACACTTTTTTACATGCCTATGGAACTTGAAAGAGACCAAAAACCCGCCTAACTGCATTACATTCATTTAATGACATTATTAATACTTATTTTACACTCAAAACCACTCCTCAATAATTTCTTCCAATAAAATTACAATTTCAACTCTTTTATTTTCCAAAGTCCTCTCTCACTCAACGACAAGCGATTAAATTCTAGAAAAATAATATTTTATTTCGTTTAGTTAATTTATGTTGATCTTTGATTGAAATTTTTATTATGTGCATCACTAAAGAGAAACTCAAAAAACTACATTCATGTTTGATTTTTTTTCATCAAACTGTTTCGACAAGGAAGATTACTTCTAACAGTTACCCAAGTTTAGAACATTCAATTGTGTAACTTGATGTTTCAACTCTAAAAATTCTCCTATCTATTGAGTTTTTCTTTTTTTTTAATATTATGAATTCTTGATCTCTTGCCGTAATTCTGCAAATTATGACATTATTACTATTATTACTGTGAATGATCTTCCTGTGAATCACGATACCATCATATATTTTGGGTGTCTATATTAAGTTGTTTGTCAACCGAACGTTTATCCTGATTAAGAGTTTCAGTCGGCCAAAGACCTAAACCGTACACAAACATACTTAAAAACTATGAACTCTTAATTTCTACTAACAGCAACATTATATAGGATGAATTACACTTGCGAGTTCCACCTCAAACAAACTTTATCTGAACATAGAGGCCAAAAACAAGTTTGAAAGTAAGTGGTTTTTCTTTTGCAGGAAGGACCAGCAGAGAAAATAATAAGCCTGGTTGTGGTGTGATGGTCCTGCCCTCTGCATTATTATTAATGGCTCCTTTTCTTTCTTTTGGTTTCAGCCACAGAAGAGTTCTGAGTTCTGACACTCACAACTCCTCTTGTAAGTTATAACTGCCTTGCCAACTTAGCACCAAAAGACATGTCTTCCTCTTCACAACAAAATATCTTCACCCATTTCTCTCTTGTCCATGCCTTTGTTTTCTCTCTCTCAAGCTCCTTCACACATGATGACACGACGGTATCATCTGTATGAACCAATAAAAGATTCAAAACAAATATATGCAAACTTGGACTCTTGCTACATGCGTTTTTTCATTTATTTTTTTGTAATATCTATACTAGTTTTTCTATCTTCAATAATGCAATATTTGCATTTTGCCCTGTACTTCACTGTTTTAATTTGCTAATACATCAAACTCCCGATAGAATAATACAGGGTGTTATTAATTTATTTGTCTTTCACTTTGCTGGAATATTTGAGATCTACTGTGTGCAAATTCTACGCTGGAAATTTGTCCCTAAAGTGCCCCACCCATGTGTTCTGAACTATTTCGTGGAAGCTTCCCATCTTTAACAATTATTTTAGAAACATATTAAGAACCAGAGCATTAATTAATATTCAATCACTGTTACTTTTTGTTTTGTATTAGCAATTTTGAATAGCAATCGTGCAAATAAAATAATATATATATATATATAATAATGACATATTTAGTAGTTTGAAAAGAAAAGGGATTATTTTAACTTTTATAAATAATTATAAAGGTATTTTTGGAGAGGAAAAAAATCTCTGTTTTATACATAAAAACAATGAGATCACACATTTTTACACATTAAAAATAACATCATAAATAGTGAATATTTTTAAGAATCCTCTCTCTTCACACGTTTTATACATAAAATTGAATGAAACTTGAAAACTCTTTCCAAGTTTTTTAGTCACACCTTGAAAACTCTCAACACAAATTTTATATCGAAACTTTGTAAATTATCTTTCATATGACCTTGGCTCATTTAAAATAATAACCCTTCTTAGAATATTTACAAAAATTAACTTATAAGGTAAAAATTATTTTTCACTTATATACTTTTAATTGTCTCATTTTTAGTCGATGTGAGCCTTATGTTTTTCCCAATACACTCCCTCATATACTTTTTTGTAGCTTTTGGTAGTGGAACGGAATAAGATAGAAAAGAATGGAACAAAACAATCTTGTATTTATACAAAGCTTGATAACAACATAACGGAACCATGTGTTTTATTCTGCATTTGGTACTTGCTTAACAGAACAAAACATCATATTTAATTACATATATATCCCTATCCTGTTTAATATTTGGTTGAGTATTAAAAAAATAAACTGAATAGAATAGAATATTTTTTCACATTTACTATTTTATGACTGTTATTATATAATATTCTTAAAATTATTAATATATTAATATTTATATTTTATAAAATATTTTATAATTATTTCCTAAAACCAAAATAAAATTAGACAACAAATTCAATGATGCAAATAACAAAGCACAAAAATTTTAATGATGCAAATAGCACAATAAAAGAGAAAAAAAAATTGTTTTGTCCTTGTACGTAGTATGTAGTGAAAGCAACAAACAGTGCAAAAAGATGGAAAAAGAGCAGCAAACCGTGAGACAAAAAAGGATTGTTTCATAGTGCATGTATCAATGGTGGGTGACCCATTTAGAGTAGATCTAGATAACTTTAATATCATTTTAGAATAGTAAATTTGAGTCTAACTCAATCCTACAAAAATAACTTGTAAGGTAAGGATTGTTCTCTACTTATAAACTTTTTAGTTGTCTTATCTCTAATTGTTGTGGAATTTGGGTTTTTTCCAATAACCTCCTCTACATGTTGGTAATTCCTCTCATTTTAAAGTCTCTATTTATTGACCTAACATTCTAATCTTAAAAGAGAAAATAAATCTCTAAAATAAATACAATGTTTTTTATTTTAAATAATATTCTAAAGATAAATAATATATTTTTATATTTAAATAATATATTAGAATTTTGAAATTAAAATTTTGAATTATTTTTTTCAATAATCCCTCATTCAATTAAAATTTTATATTTTTATTCTACATTATTCCGGTTTATTGGAGTCACAGTGTGTCAATCTTGATTACTCAAGTGGCAGGTAACTAGACTATAGTAACCATGAGCTCTAATATTACTTTTGAACGAAAAAAAAAATTCTTCTTTATTATGTGCAAGAATGATGAGAACACGCATTAAAAATATTATACAAATGTGACAAATCTTATTTTTATCATTTCTTATATTTTTTAAAAAAAAAATAACATACTGTTTTATAATTATTTATAATACGAAAACAAAAATTATTTTTTTCATACCAATCTAACATTTCATGACTAGTTTTTACGAGAGAAATAACGTATGATAATTAATACTTAAAAATTATTTTTATATACTTTTCCTATATTGTAATAGTGGATATAAGAATAGTATAATAATATAACTTATAAATACAAATGTGAGAAGATGGAAATTAGAACTGATTAACTATTAGAAATATAATTGAAAAGAAAAATAAAAGTGGAAAAACTAAACAAAAACGTGAAGAGGAAAAAGAAGGACAGCTTTGGGTGGGGAAAAGTTTTATAAAAAAGGAGGAAGGGGGTGTATTGG